GGGGGGGGGGGGGTGAGTTTAATGTCACTTTAATAATTGCAGTACAGGGTTAGCCCCACTGCAAGAGTACGTTTTTTATTTTCCCGGCGTTCTTCTTTAAACCAGTAAAGTCAAAAGTAAGCAGTAGCAGAGCTATGTCTGTGAAGGTTCTCATTCATCCAGGTCATGGTATATCTGTAAAAAATAAATCAAGGCAACTGGACTTGCTATATTTTTCTTGAAGATGTTTCTCTGGTCATCCAACCAGCTTTCTCAATTCAGAATGGTTTCTGAATTGAGAATAAATGGATTCAGAATGAATTCTGAATTGAGAAAACTAGTCGGATGACCAGTGAAACGTCTTCAAGAACAATGCAGCAGACCCAGTTGCCTTGATTTATTCTTTACAGACATAGAAGCAGAGCTAATAATGGCTTCAGGAAATGCTTTTTTAAAAAGCAGTCATGATGGAGTTAACCTTGTGAAGTGTTTTGGAGAATTTACAGCTGTGTAGCTGAGAAATGGAAGTGAACTGAAGTGATTGACAGATGTGCACAGCTAGAGGGATCCTGAGGATGCTGTCTGGTACTGCGCTCTGATTGGCTGGCCAAGTCTACATAAAGAGGAGCTTTCCTTCAGCACCACGCACTGCCCGTGCTAGGACGAGGCTCACTGTGCTGTCAGCGGGTCACTTCCAGACAGCGGCCAAATTACTGGATGACATGGAGAGAGATCGAGGACGATTTTTGCGGTGGTGTTTCTGTTTGCTGCGTTGTAGTCTACACTGAGCGATCACTTTTTCTGCTACTACAAAAGTTTCTTGTTCCTTGTTAGAATACTCTTCTATTGCATTCAGAAGGGCTTTTCCTGCTCCCCTGAGAAACGCTGATTGCCAATGAGTTAATTACTTTTGTTTGTTGCCTTGTAATGCTTCTGGATTCAGTACAATGGGATGTTTGAGAACTGATCTGCACCTCCTAAATGCATTACAAGCATGCCCAGAATAAGGATTAATATGGCTGTGAAAGGGAACATCTGCATTCCATGTGTCGTGTTCCAATGTGATCACGTCCATTTGTGTCCCATAGGACGCCATGAACAGTCCTAGATTGTGGGAGCACTTGCCATTCTATGAAGCGCAGTGGCTGAGCTGAGGCTGTCTGCTCAGTAGAGCTCAGAACCTGATGCATTCCCTGAACATCACCCCGGAGCTGATCGCCAGACTTTTACAGGAGAATAATGTCACTAGGGAACAGTTCATCGAGCTCTATCAGCTGCAGCCTTTGGTCTACATCCCGGAGCTCCCTGTCCCCTTTAAGGTCGCCTTTGTGGTCATCTGTGTGGTCATCTTCGTGCTGGCTCTGTTTGGTAACTCCTTGGTCCTCTATGTGGTGACTAGGAGCAAAGCAATGAGGACAGTCACCAACATCTTTATCTGCTCCCTGGCCGTCAGCGATCTGCTCATTGCCTTCTTCTGTATTCCATTCACTATGCTGCAGAACATCTCATCCAACTGGCTGGGAGGTAAGGGCTTCCTAGCGCAGAGTTGTACTTGTAACAGTTTAAACTTTAAAACAGACGTATCACTTGATTCTGTTCTGGGCTGTAAACTGTAGGAGACTGTCCAGGGGCGTTGCTAGGAGTGTGAAAGATCTGGGGCACCCAAGGACACATGGAGGAAATTGTTTCTGCAGTGCTAATAACACAAAAGCACTTGGTATTATGACCTCCACACACCATACCAATTTACCCCAGAATCCAGTGGGTGCTAGATCAACAGGTGGATGGCACCACAGTATACAATCTAGAAGATATGTTGTCCGCACACCCTTCTGCTTCAGGATTATTTGTAATCCTTTAGCATGACCTACGGATGCATCCATATGTCATGCTAAAAGAATACGAATAAAGATATTCTGAAGCAGAATGGTGTGCGGACAACATATCTTTTAGCACATCACGACATTCAGTGGGCGTTGAAAGAGGTAGTGGCTTAAATTGGAACTCCAACTGAAAATATTATTAACCCTTGCAGTCAGGCTACCCCTGCACTGCAATGGTTAACTGCTCTTTTCATCTAGGGACTAAAATAAAGTTGTACTCACCTGATCCTTGGAGCCGGCTTGCTGTTAGACCGCTCCTTCCAGCGTGTCTCCTCCACTGCTGCAGCAGTATAAGGATCCTCGAGTCATCATGTTCTATACACAGTGTATTGGAGGTGAGGACACCATGGTACATGCGATCGCTGCAGTGGAGGAGAGAGGCTGGAGGGAGCACCCTGACAGCCGGCTGGCTCGGAGGTTCAGTGAGTGTACTTTTTTTATTTTATTCCCTAGATGAAAATGAGCAGTTAACCCTTGCAGTGCAGGGGCAGCCCACTGCAAGGATTATTCATGTTTTCCCCCAGACTTCTTCTTTAAGCGGAAAAGAGTCTAAACCCACTTGATGTATACATTTTGCATGTATGCCACAGTCTTTGTACTCACAAGTATGCCTTAATTACTGTGCTACAAGTTGAAAACTCACAGGCACATATAAACCTCAGGACATAGGATAATATTTAAAAAAATTAACTCTTCCATAACCTATGCTTTTCTGCGCACAGTATATAAACCTGGAGCTAGCACTTTAGCTGATCCTGTCTTAAAGAGAAACTTCATTAAAATAGTTAGGAACTACTTTGTAACCAGTAACTCTTGAGACAAATAACACATTGGTAAGGACTAAGAAATATACAACATAACCTATACAGTGCAGCAGTCAGGGCTATGTAATGCACAATCCCAGATAGCAAGGATAACTTGTCACAAACTTGGCAGGGTTAAATTGTAATTCTTGCTAACTTGCTGCACACATGCCTGGCAAGTTGTAGACTTGTAGAACACTTGCAGCACAAGTTCTAGTTGACACTTTTTGAATTTGTAGCAAATTTGCTTGCCAAGTCTACAGCAAGAGTCCTGTAGGTCTTAGCAAGAGCTCTGCAAGTGTACAGCACTTTTGCAAAGCACATTGATCTGGAGACTTGTAATGCAGACTTGTTGTAATTGTGCAACAAAATTGTGAAGCTTGGCAAGTCTGCAATACTTTAGCAAGTAATTTTCAAACTTGCAGCTCAATTGCTTGCTGTCTGGGATGTACAGTATAAATTACAGTAGTCATACTATGTAAGGTACAAGCCGGTATATCAAGTGGAGCAGTGAGGACTGTATGATGTTCAACACAGTGCATATCTAGTATATATAGTATTGCAGTCAGGGCTATGTAATATAAAAGACTGCATATGGAGTAAGTGGTCAGGACTGTGTAATGTACAAAATTGCAAGTGAGTGGTCAGGACTATGTAATGCCCAACATAGCATATATAGTGAGTGGTCAGGACTATGTAATGTACCACATAGCATATGGAGTGAGTGGTCAGGTCTATGTAATGTACAACATATCATATGGGGTGAGTGGCCAGGACTGTATAATGTGCAAAATGTCATTTTGGGTGAAGCGGTCTGATATTTTTAACATACAACATAATAAACTAAGTATACCCATCAGGACTGTGTGGCCATTGTGCCCATTGTTTAACATGCAGCGTAGCATATAGAGTGCAGTATTAAAAAAAATCAGAAGAGCTCAGCAAAGGAAACCACCATACCAGATTAGTATAGGTTTCCTTTAAGAAAAGTAACTCTGTCTTGTAAAGGGTCACTTATGTTTACTTTGTATTCAGTCTCTTTCTTCCTCCTGCTCCTCTTTCACAGTCAACCCCCACACACAGTATGTTATTCTTAGAACCTGTTGCCCATTTTGTCTGACCTTGATCAAGCAGCATTTTTTTCCCTTGAATACATTACATAAAACACAGAAAGTCACATTAATGATCTAAAAGAATACTTTGCCCTTGCATTGAACCCGTTCACTTTCTGCCAGTGACATATGTTTCATCTCATTATTGTTAGACAGTAAAGAAGATTTAAAAAAAAAAATCACATTATTCATAGAGAAAAGAGTAAGGCTAACCGCAGACATGAAGTCAAAGTCTCCTAATCTGACTACTCTCAGGAGCAACTGAATATGTAAATTGACGATCTGTCCCAATCTCTCAGTAGACAGTCCATTGATTAGCATTAACATTTGGTCTTGATGGACTTCATGTTTAGGAGTGTGCCACACAGCGAGAGTCCCCAAAAGCACTGAATCACAAATATACACTGCCTGGCCAAAAACAAATGTCACACACTCTAATATTCTGTTTGACCACCTTTAGCTTTGATTACAGTACGCATTTGACGCGGCATCATTTCGATAAGCTTATACAATGTCACAACATTTATTTCCATCCAGAGTTGCATTAATTGCACCCGAAGAGTCGGAACACTGTGTAAAGTCTTCTCCAGCACATCCCAAAGATTCTCAATGGGGTTAAAGGGGTTCTAAACCCTCCGGTTTTTTTTTGCTTATATCTACTGCTAGCAAGCAGTAGATATAGGCAAGAAGTGTGTAAAAAAAACAAAAACGCTTGAAATAATTTTAAACTTACCTAGTTATCGCTGCTCGCTCCCGCGCAGTTGACTATTCATTTTAGCAGGAAGATTGGTGCTAAACCATAGATGCAAATAATCAATTAAAGTGTAATAAATAAAATGTGCTGAGATAAAGATCATGGCGATTGCTATAATATCATGCAAATAAACATAATTTTAAAATAAATACATAATAAATGAAAATGTATGTTCATTAAATGATGCATTGTTACTTAATGGTTACACAGACTCCCCTATAAAGAAATAACCTCGTACGTTTACATTCATACCATGTTGATACAATGTACAGTATAAATCGAAGCAATCATCAGACAAAATGCAGCTGCTTGCCTTGTGTTAAATATCCATCTTCTTGTCAAAGTAAAGAATCACTGGTTATGTTTTCCTAGCTTTATTGATTTAGTCATAAAAAATCCACTTACATTATTTATGGATTAATTTCTAGTGCAGACACGTGGTACAGCATGCTGCGTGTGACAGCTATATACAGTATATTCATGTAACTTTTCATTGGAAAATTAAATAATGTATTCATTTACCAACAAAAAAAACAGGAACATTCATATTAATTTACTGTACAGCTATTAGAAGTAATTATTTTAATCCATGATCTAGAGAGGATTTTATTTACCTCTATAGCCCCTTCACACTGGTGTATTTTTGGTTGCAGTTAATTGTGGGTGAAATTACTCATGCTGTTTCTGTTATCTATAAGGGCACATATTTCGTTAGTCACTTTGTGTAGCTGAACCTCAAATTACATGCATAGATAATTTAATTAGAGAATGTATACATGAAGAGAAGGTATACATGAAGTTTCAATTAGGCAGAGGTGTGAAAAAGCGGAGGAAATCTCAAACACACCCACTGCTGGCTAGAAAACAAAAACAGTAATACCAAGTTTCTCATAACCACCAAATGTATTCAGTCTGCTTTGTGACTGATGATGCAGAAAGCAGAGATAACCCAAGTTACATGGCACTGGATTCAGAAAGTACACTTTGGATTACACAATTCTCAGATAAAGGTAGTAGTAAAGCTAATCACTAAAATTTCATATAAGCTGTGCCATATGTAAGAGCCTGTATTGTGAAATCTGCACCCCAAAAAGCAAGCATAGGGTGAATGACTAGTCACCAGAATTGCCTCTAGGCTCCCTGCAGCTGAGCTTTTTGCCATTAATGACTTACTATGCCTTTCTCCATGCTGTGTCTCATTGGAGGCAGCCATCTTGGTAGAAGGACAGGGCGTTGGCTCTTTAGTGCTGCCCCTTGATAAATGATTTATCAAAGCTGCCCCCCTGATAAATGGTAATGGGACAACTGGTGGGGTAATGATCAAAAACAGCAAGAGAGTTGTAGAAAGCATGGAGCCACAGAAAGACGGTAGCTAAAGCAGAGAGTTTGCTGCACTGTGAGTCCACAGGTACAGTTTGCTCTCCAGCAAGTCATCAGGAGAACTGTGAAAAACACAGAAGTGATGTCACCACATCTCCCTCCGAATGTCTTGGGACTATCAGAGAGAGGAAGCAGTACTCTCACATAGTCTCCCTGTCACTTGCACCTCTGGTGGATATTACAGGTGGCCCTGCTGACATACATTGTACAGGCAAAGTCCACAACTGTGATTATCAGGCATGAGTAAAACTAGCCAGTTTAATTTTAAAACAATTTAAATTTTGTTGAAATATCAGTGGCATTGGAGTCAGTGGGCAAAGTGAAGTTGTGTAGTTTGAGGTGGTTAAGGTTGTTTTTAATGTTTTTAAGGGGTTTGAATGGCTACTGTGTGTCTTTTGTTTTTGGCTCTGAGAAAAGGGGGGGGGGACCCAGAAACGCATCAGCCATTACTTGCTGTGTGGTCGCTAGAGGTGTGCTGTAACTTTATGGCTCCCTAGGGCACTTCTTTTGCCAACCAACAAAATCAATTTTTGCATGCTGGATGAGTTTGTGAGTGTAGATTTTTGATTTTATCCAATAGATGGATTAACTA